CAGGCTGTCTGAGGGTGGTGTAGGGCAGGCTGTCTGATGGTGGTGTAGGGCAGGCTGTCTGAGGGTGGTGTAGGGCAGGCTGTCTGAGGGTGGTGTAGGGCAGGCTGTCTGAGGGTGGTGTAGGGCAGGCTGTCTGAGGGTGGGTGGAGGGCAGACTGTCTGAGGGTGGTGTGGACAGGCTGTGTGAGAGGTAGGTGTAGGGCAGGCTGTCTGAGGGTGGTGTAGGGCAGGCTGTCTGAGGGTGGTGTAGGGCAGGCTGTCTGAGGGTGGTGTGCGACAGAGTGGCTGAGGGTGGTGTGCGACAGAGTGGCTGAGGGTGGTGTGCGACAGAGTGGCTGAGGGTGGTGTGCGACAGAGTGGCTGAGGGTGGTGTGCGACAGAGTGGCTGAGGGTGGTGTGCGACAGAGTGGCTGAGGGTGGTGTGCGACAGAGTGGCTGAGGGTGGTGTGCGACAGAGTGGCTGAGGGTGGTGTGCGACAGAGTGGCTGAGGGTGGTGTGCGACAGAGTGGCTGAGGGTGGTGTGCGACAGAGTGGCTGAGGGTGGTGTGCGACAGAGTGGCTGAGGGTGGTGTGCGACAGAGTGGCTGAGGGTGGTGTGCGACAGAGTGGCTGAGGGTGGTGTGCGACAGAGTGTCTGAGGGTGGTGTGCGACAGAGTGGCTGAGGGTGGTGTGCGACAGAGTGGCTGAGGGTGGTGTGCGACAGAGTGTCTGAGGGTGGTGTGCGACAGAGTGTCTGAGGGTGGTGTGCGACAGAGTGTCTGAGGGTGGTGTGCGACAGAGTGTCTGAGGGTGGTGTGCGACAGAGTGTCTGAGGGTGGTGTGCGACAGAGTGTCTGAGGGTGGTGTGCGGACAGAGTGTCTGAGGGTGGTGTGCGACAGAGTGTCTGAGGGTGGTGTGCGACAGAGTGGCTGAGGGTGGTGTGCGACAGAGTGGCTGAGGGTGGTGTGCGACAGAGTGTCTGAGGGTGGTGTGCGACAGAGTGTCTGAGGGTGGTGTGCGTTAGAGTGGCTGAGGGTGGTGTGCGACAGAGTGGCTGAGGGTGGTGTGCGACAGAGTGGCTGAGGGTGGTGTGCGACAGAGTGGCTGAGGGTGGTGTGCGACAGAGTGGCTGAGGGTGGTGTGCGACAGAGTGGCTGAGGGTGGTGTGAGAGGCTACATGAGGGGTAACTAAACGCTGCTGTTATAGCACTTCTCGCCTCCTCTACTTAATCATTAACTTAAAACTATATTAAGTTACTATTTAAAAACTTAGAAGAGATAGTTTATGCAATATCAGTTGTAGTTTCTGACGTTAACTTATTACTTTTGTACATTACGAGGTTATATTTTTTTATACAACTTGCAGGAAAGAACTCAAATTTATGAAGTTTCCTTCTGACTTGGACTATTAATTTTTGTGTGACAAGTTAATGATCCATGTAAGAGCGAAACGTCTTCCTAAGTGTGTCTCCAGCGTTCCGGTTTACGTATCGTTCCAGTCACGGTTTTGTGGCACTTATTTCGTAATACGTTTATTTCTAATTAATTTGTTCACTATTGTCAATTATGCTACTGTTTCTTTTCGTTTAGAATATTTTACTATATTCATGTTTGTTAGATGGAAGAGCAAGTGAATGATTTGGTTCGACTTAAAAGAAGCTTGTGATTCCTGTATGTGATTCCTTCTCTTCTGAGTTGTATTCATGCGTTATGACCTGGTGCACAGCTGCTAGCGTTCCCTCACTGTATTTTCTAACACTACGATAGTTAGGTTTTCTCTGTGTCTTAGTTTGAAACACTGATTTCACTGTGGCTACTATATTTGCTCCTGTGTTTCCGTTGCTAACTTAACACAGACAACTGTCGTATATAGCAACATCTTCCTGGATGAAAGGGGTGAATTACCTTCATATTATCGCTATGGTTTATATTTTTTTCCACTGAAAGGGTTTGAAAGATTGCAAATTATTTCATAAATGACAGAAGAACTATTCACAATATTAATGCTAGATTTTCATAGCTGTAACACGACTGTTAAACGCCAGTATTCCAGAATCAGAGATGATCTTACGTGTCCCTCATTAAACGTGCTGGGGAGACCCCATAATACCAGTTATACATTTATGATTACTGCACAATACCAGTTATGAATTAAATATTGGTAGATGGTTCGAGTATATTAAACATTTGTGATAAGCCATATTTAGTCAATAGTAAAAACTAAAAAAAAAATTCTGGACGTTTTCTCTGAAGACTCCTAAACACAGTTCATGTTGATACTGACTTATCTGCAACGATGTCATACATAACGAAATATGAATAAGACCGTCAACACTGATTGTCAAGGGTGAGTGTAACAGTGTATGTTGCTTATATGTAACAATGGTGATGGCACTGTAACATGTTTATTTCTGTGTACGTACACAGTGCTGTCACTGTACACTGTGCTATATGACCCTTGTAGGTTTAGCGCTTAATTTTTATTATAGTCACAGACTGGTCCGCGGGGGCGTTGACCCCCGGAACTCTCTCCAGGTAATATATATTTCAGTATGCAGGCCTCTGACATGAGCATTATGACACTGAACACTGGCACAATAAGTGTAAATTATCTCGTGCCGGAAGAATCCTCAGTTCTGATAGCACATATAGGTTACTTCAGTGTCTGAAGCCCGCCCGCCGCCCGAGCCCGCCCGCCCGCCCGCCGAGCCCGCCTGCCCGCCCGAGCCCGCCTGCCCGCCTCACCCACACACGTACTCAGTTGTTCATGACTAAGCAAAACATTCTTTCTCTCGGTTGAAATAAACACATTAATAAGAAATCCTCTCTCTAGCACACCTGTGTCCTAATTAGCATTGTTATAGAAAACAATATAAAGGCGTAATTACATGTTGTTTACGTGGGGAAGAAACTTAATAAGAACCTCAAGACAATAAAGAACAAATGGCGCAATTATCTGGGTGGCTATTAAAGGTAAACACGTGATCATACACGCACAAGAACAACACGCGTCTCTGTATGCTGTATATAATAATTAATATAAATATATATATATATATATAAATAATATATATATATATATATATATTAATATTTAATACACGAGAGCCTGATAAAACAAGCAGCTCGCAAGAATATATAAGTGAGCCGAGACGAGAACAAGACAAATACTGGAAGACAGGCACTGAAACTGGTGAGAGAGAAGATGCTGGAGGATGGTATCGTTGACACGTACACAGAGTAATGTAATGCAGAATATATCATATACATAGTGCAAAGTAATGGAAAATATGATGCATAGTGCTCAGTGGTGCACAAAATAACAAGGAGAGTGCACAAAACAAGCACAGTCAAATTACTAGATTTTGTGTTCCCAAAGAAGCACTCATTGGTAGGGGTGGTAGCGAGCGAATGAGATTTGATTCAAGGAATTGGAAGGTGGCCCTAGCATGAAGGAAAACTATTCGATAGAGAGGAAGGGACTTAAAGGGGCTTAAAGGTATTCATATAAATATATCTTACTTTCCAAAAAAACACAATAGCATTGATATTAAAGCAGAAAGGAATGAGATAACGTGAACCTTCAAATCCAGAGATTTCAATATGAAGATACTCTTTGAGAGGAGCTCTTTTGGTTCAAGTTACGACTCGGTGTCAGTGGCAGAATGAGCACTATTTTTTATGATTCGATTGAAATTAAATGATAGTGAAATGTGGATGCGCCGCACCGTAGACTGGTTGCGTTTAATTTTAATTCTACTAGTGACCTTCCTAGTATTAGCAGTAATAGTACTATTACTAATGTTGCTTTAAATTTTAATAATGCTACTATTGACACAGAGGTAACTCTTCTTTACAGTACTGCTGTTGTTATTACTACTGAGTGTATTAAGTGTACGGCTACATCTAGCACTAATATTACTTTCTAGTACTAATATTTATGACACAGAGTTGTCAGGAAGTGGAACAGTCTGGCAAGTGATGTAGTGGAGGCAGGAACCATACATAGTTTTAAGACGAGGTTTGATAAAGCTCATGTAGCAGGGAGAGTAACCTAGTAGCGATCAGTGAAGAGGCGGGGCCAGGAGCTATAACGCGACCCCTGCAACCACAAATAGGTGAGTACTGAAAACTGCTCCAAATTCACAAACTAGAAGAGCAGGCAATGATAATGAGAAAGACTAACAATTGATTAAAAAGCAAAGAGGGAAGCATGAGAACGCTCAAGCCTGACGACTGGGGTCCCACAAGCAATAGTACAGGAACTACACATGAGAAGATACTAAATCCAATGCATCAGTGTTGAAAGGCAATGTGAAATTAAAGTGAAGTATGAGGAACCGAGGCTATGCCAACACACCAACTGCAAGTCAGTGCTCACAAACATTACTTATATAGAGAGATACTTAAAAGCAGAACAAGAATTTATTCAGGGAATGTTTCGCTCAACAACAGCTCTTCTCGAGCGAAATGCAGCCTTAACAAAATTTTACTGTTCTAAATGTATTTTTTAATACATAAGGTACGTGGACGGACTACAGATAGTCGACCAAGTAGCTACTAGATTTCAACCCCGGTAAATGAAATATAAGAAACGGGAGCTTTCCCGAGTCTTCACCTTGCCTAGGTAGACCTACCGTACTCTAATGTAGTTTGTCGTCAAGGCCCATCCCCCTCCCTAAAATCGGCTATTATACCACAAGGCGACTAGCCTTCAGCAACGTTCTCTGGCTCCAACTCTGAAGAATATTGTTTCTTCAACGATTATTCATTCCCCAACTGACACCTGTAACGTGTTCTCAAAACCTGAAAAAAAAATCAACTCAGCTGCAGCATAAAAACACGGTGCTTAAAATAAAGCACCCACCTACAAACTAAAAACCCACTTACAATATTTTTAAAAGAGCTCAGGTAGGATAGCAACTCTTAACTTGTAAAATATGCATACATAAAGTCCTGGAGAAAGCGTTGACTATAAAATCCAGACTATCAACTGAGTGATGTGTGCTGTGCCTTACCTTTTCCCCTGCCGTAGGCCTGCAGCTGCAGGTAGTTGAGTGGTTTACCCAGTTCTCCGTCGTAGAGCTGCCCCAGTCCATTACGCAAGAGTCCCGGGCCCCTGGCTCCATCGTAAGAGTCGTCTGCCAGTAGGAAGCCAGGGTCCCTCACCATCCCGTCCACCCCGCTGTAGCTCACCACCCCACCTGCAGGAGTATATGCATTATTAGTACTAATACATTGAAAAACGAGTTTAGCTCGTGTAGATAAAAAAACATTCTGAAGTGGAGGCAGGAGGAGGGATAGTATTTAGTGCTATATTCGGATAAAGGGAATGCATATAATATATAATATATATATATATATATATATATATATATATATATATAATATATATATATATATATATATATATATATATATATGCAATAAGATCACAGAAAACAGGTGATTTCAGAATATGCAAAACAACCACTGTGAAAGAATAGAGAAATTCCAAGCGCTTTCGTGACTACTCACGAATTTCTCTATTCTTTCAGTGGTTGTTTAGCATATATATATATATATATATATATATATATATATATATATATATATATATATATATAATATAATATATATATGATGAAGTTAGATTTAAGTTACAAAAATCCTATAAAACACAGTTAATCATCAATATTCGCTACGTTCAAATCTATACACTAAATCACGAGTTGTGTGGGTTGGGTTGATGTATCGCTCACTTGTAGTACACCATCACAGACACCTGATCCACACATCCCCTTCCAGTGATGAATTTACCTTCATCTTCTGCCATCAGGTTCTTCCCTCACCCTCACTACTGTAATAACAAGTCTGTCATACACTGCACCTGGTATGCGAACAATTCATTTTCCCATAAATCTTCCAATTTTTTGTTCTCACCTTCATACAAGGGAACGACTCCCTTCCAATCTTTAGGTAGATTTCTCTTTTTTCAAACACATAATGAAAAATGCACCAAGGATTCCCGCACATTATCTACGCTTGCTTTCAGCATTTTAGCTTTAATTCTATTCGTCTTCGCTTCCTTTCTCACTTTAATCCTACTTACTGCATCATTCGCTTTCTGTGTACTTACTCCCAGTTCTTTCCTCCATACAAATACAATTTCTTTCTGACCATGTGCAGGAAATTTCTACCTAAATTCCATGATCTACGGTCAACAACCTCTCAAAATGTTCTTTAAGTCTCTTTGATACTTCTGACTTATCCTGTGTTTTCCTACTTTTACGCTAAACAAATATTGAATTAACGACTATTGATTATTGATCCAAGAATGAAGCTTTTATCATGGCTAGAGTTTTAAGCGCTTCTACTACTACTACTAACTACTACTACTACTACTACTACTACTACTACTGGTTCAAGTCGGGTTATTTGTGCATTGTGCCTTTTTATTTTTTAATAATAATATCTATTTTCAACGTCTTAAAGGGAACTGAATATATGAGTCTGCTCTTTGCTGATGTTGCAGTGCTTTTGGAAGATCAGGAAGAGACATTGTGGAAACTGATGGAGGAGTTAGCGAGGATGTGTAAAAGAATGAAGCTGAAAGTGAACACAGGATAGAACATGGCGATGGGAGTTCGAAGTCTAAGATATGAGTGAGAGAAGGTTAAACAGAAAAGAAAAAAAATGTGACGAAGGTGATTGTCTTTAAATAATTAGGGCTGGATGAATAAGAAAGGCGGGGGTGAATCCTGGATAAATAAAGGAGAAAAGCAGCATAAATCTTAGTTTAGAAATGAAAAAGACTGCCAATCAGTGAAAAGGGAAAGTTTTAAGAACACATAGAAATGGACATGATAGTTGAATCATTCAGCCAGGATGAGGTCAGAATTTTTTACGTGCTTTGAATATTATGCCCAGAATAATGAGTTATGGTATGAAAGGTATAATTCAGAGAACGGAGGAAGAGTTTCCGAGATGATTTTGTTATTTAGATATAATGGGGAAAAATAGGTTGAACACGAGGGTGTGTAAAGCTGGGTTGGGCGGAATGAGATGTAAAGGGACGTCGCAGGAAAGGGTAAAGAGTGTGATGGTAGGTTTGAGAGATAATGGCTCGAGCAACCAGCACGAATGTGAGTCTTACACCGGAGTACAAGAAAGCTTTTCTCGATTTCATGTACTGTTGGAGTGTGAGCAAGACAGTATTTACATACTGTTGGAGTGTGAGCAGGGTAATATTAACATACTACTGGAGTGTAAGCAAGGTAATATCTATAATGAGATTCAAAAGAAACCTATGACTAGCAGTTGAGTTTCGGACACCTGAAGGATGTTTTCCGGGGGCCAACACCCCCCTCCCACCCATTCCGGTCTCAGACCAGACAAGTATAAGCGGCACATACTGTGCCTACACTGTGAAAGATAGGTTGCGTCTCACTGGGTAACTCATTAGTTCAAAACTCTAATGATGGTGATTACTGTGTTGTTCATAATCTGGGCCCACTGGTGATGAGTCCCGGCGAGGAGTCAGTTCTTGTTTGAACTCATATTTCAATTTAAGTTGTTTTGATTCTGTGTTTGCTCTCCAGAATTACTGTCTGTTCTTGTGCTCTCTCTCAATCTCTTATTTTTCTTTTATTTTTTTCCTCCTACTCCTCCTTTCCCACCTCTTCCTATTTTTTCCTTTTCCTCATCTTCCACGTTACACTTTTAACTCGTTTCGCTCTGAGTCTTTCTCTCACTTTCCCAGACTCAGTTTCCCCCCCGTTTCCATCTCTCTCACTCTTCATCCTTGTCTTTTCCACTCTCCTAGCCTTTCCCATCTACCTCCATCTTCTACCTTCTCACCGCATCTTTCTTATTCCCATCCCTTACTTGTGCTCTCTTTCTCATACATTTTCATCTCAATTCTCTCTCCTATATTCGCAGTTTTCCCTCTCACCAGTGCAGAAATCTGTGCATCCAGGTAGAGCTGTCACCAACACAGCTCTCAGAAGCATAAGTCTCATCAGCAGATCTCTCACCAGCAGAGCTCTCACCAGCAGAGTTCTCACCAGCAGAGCTCTCACCAGTACAGCTCTCACCAGTACAGCTCTCGCCAGCACAGCTCTCACCAGCACGCTCTCGCCAGCACAGCTCTCCCAGCACAGCTCTCGCCAGCACAGCTCTCACCACACAGCTCTCGCCAGCACAGCTTCCTCACAGCACAGCTCTCACCAGACAGCTCTCACCAGCAACAGCTCTCGCCAGCACAGTCTTCCAGCAACAGCTCTCGCCAGCACAGCTCTCGCCAGCACAGCTCTCGCCAGCACAGCTCTCGCCAGCACAGCTCTCGCCAGCACAGCTCTCGCCAGCACAGCTCTCACAGCACACTCTCACCAGCACGTTCCCAAGCTTCGCACCAGCTCTCGCCAGCACAGCTCGCCAAGCACAGCTTCTCACCAGCACAGCTCTTCACCAGCACAGCTCTCACCAGCACGCTCCTCACCAGCTCAGCTCCACCACCAGCTCTCACCAGCACAGCTCTCGCCAGCACAGCTCTCGCCAGCACAGCTCTCGTGCACAGCTCTCGCCAGCACAGCTCTCGCACAAGCTCTCGCCAGCCACTCTCACCAGCACAGCTCTCACCAGCACAGCTCTCACCAGAAGCTCTACAGCACAGCTCTCCCCAGCAGCATCTCTCACCAGCACAGCTCTCGCCAGCACAGCTCTCGCCAGCACAGCTCTCGCCAGCACAGCTCTCGCCAGCGGAGCTCTCACCAGCACAGCTCTCGCCAGCACAGCTCTCGCCAGCACAGCTCTCACCAGCACAGCTCTCACCAGCACAGCTCTCACCAGCACAGCTCTCACCAGCACAGCTCTCACCAGCACAGCTCTCACCAGCGGAGCTCTCACCAGCACAGCTCTCACCAGCACAGCTCTCACCAGCGGAGCTCTCACCAGCCAGCTCCACAGCGGAGCTTCACCAGCACAGCTCTCACCAGCGGAGCTACCAGCACAGCTCTCACCAGCGGAGCTCTCACCAGCACAGCTCTCACCAGCAGCTCTCACAGCACGCTCTCACCAGCAAGCTTCACCAGCACAGCTCTCACCAGCACAGCTCTCACCAGCACAGCTTTCACCAGCACAGCTCTCACCAGCGGAGCTCTCACCAGCACAGCTCTCGCCAGCACAGCTCTCACCAGCACAGCTCTCACCAGCACAGCTCTCGCCAGCACAGCTCTCACCAGCACAGCTCTCACCAGCACAGCTCTCACCAGCGGAGCTCTCACCAGCACAGCTCTCACCAGCACAGCTCTCACCAGCACAGCTCTCGCCAGCACAGCTCTCACCAGCGGAGCTCTCACCAGCACAGCTCTCACCAGCACAGCTCTCACCAGCGGAGTCACCACACAGCTCTCACCAGCGGAGACAGCCTACCTCACCAGCACAGCTCTCACCAGCACAGCTCTCACCAGCACAGCTCTCCCCAGACAGCTCTCACCAGCACAGCTCTCACCAGCACAGCTCTCACCAGCACAGCTCTCACCAGCGGAGCTCTCACCAGCACAGCTCTCACCAGCGGAGCTCTCACCAGCACAGCTCTCACCAGCGGAGCTCTCACCAGCACAGCTCTCACCAGCACAGCTCTCACCAGCACAGCTCTCACCAGCACAGCTCTCGCCAGCACAGCTCTCACCAGCACAGCTCTCGCCAGCACAGCTCTCACCAGCGGAGCTCTCACCAGCACAGCTCTCGCCAGCACAGCTCTCGCCAGCACAGCTCTCGCCAGCACAGCTCTCACCAGCACAGCTCTCGCCAGCACAGCTCTCACCAGCGGAGCTCTCACCAGCGGAGCTCTCACCAGCACAGCTCTCACCAGCACAGCTCTCACCAGCACAGCTCTCACCAGCACAGCTCTCACCAGCGGAGCTCTCACCAGCACAGCTCTCACCAGCACAGCTCTCACCAGCGAAACGCTCTCCCCAGCACAGCTCTCACCAGCACAGCTCTCACCAGCACAGCTCTCACCAGCACAGCTCTCACCAGCACAGCTCTCACCAGCACAGCTCTCACCAGCACAGCTCTCACCAGCACAGCTCTCACCAGCACAGCTCTCACCAGCACAGCTCTCACCAGCACAGCTCTCACCAGCACAGCTCCCCTGAGCGCGACAACACATCATCACAGCCCGTGTCATTCATAAGGTCTCTTCTTAATACGTCTCTGAGGA